CTGTCATGCAACACAAAGATTTAGCAAGATGGACCAAATGTAACGCAAATGGGGCTAAGGGCCTTAACCATGCCTGTCATATAGATAGCAGACTGGAACAAGAAGACGAGGACAGGTTCACAATTACTAAATACACACACAAACCTGTGAATGAGACCCATTTAATGTCATCATCACAATTCAGTTCAAAGCCACAAAGTAATGAAGAAACAGCCACTGTGGGTTTGTGTTTGTGCTGTGTAAATCACAAGCTGCCTGTTGCCATGGTAATTAAAAAAGAAACTGACTACTTTGAAGGTGATTGCAGTATTGAAAACACAAGAAATATGAAATACAGAATTACTTGTGTAAGTGCAATGTATGCATCAGTTTTGCATTGCTTTTTTAATTAATTATTATTATTTTTTATTTTTATTTTAGGAACTCCATGTATTAGAGGCTACATTTATAACGTTGGTAAATTTATAAATATTGGTTACATTTTATGCAGTTTAAAATTCTAGCTTTTGTATTTGTGTTTGTTGTCAAAATACAATATTGCATGCATGTTTTAATGAAGAATTGTATAGCAATTGTTATATTCTCAACATGTACGGTATACAGTAAAACAGTGTGTAAACATACAGTAGAGTTTACAATAGTAATCAAATGTATAATTAATTATTATTATTATTATTTATAAATGTTGTACCGTAATATTGTTGTACAACACCAATAAATCTATACTGGATGTTTACATATTCATGTTGTAAATTATTATTATTACTAGTAGTAGTAGTATTCATCACTTTATTAAAACTCACAGGTAACTCTAAATTCTGATATTTTACAAGTAATTATGTATTTTATTTACTATCTACACAGCATATTTAGACCTTCTGTTAGTGCAAAATAGAACTGAACCCACTCTCGCCCATACTGTCAGTGTGATCTTACAGTATTGAAACGAGAGATAGAAACCCTCATGAAGACATAACATAACATATAACATAACATAACAACATAACATAACATAACCCTGTGATATGACATAACATATCACTTTATGTTAAAGTTTTGAAAGGTCAAAGCTGAAAGGCTTTTGCTAGTTATGAATTGGATATGTTTTGGAGAGTTTATTAAAAAAATGTCAAAAGAATTAGATTATATGTACAGAACCATGCACTGGGAGAAGGAGAGGGGCTGAGAAAAATCATCAGCGCTTATGAGAATCGACAAGACTTTCAACCCTGTCTCTGAAGCAGTTTCAATTTCAGTGTAGCAGCAGGCATTTCTATTTAATACAGATTCTCTTCCAGAATGTGTGAAATGACCTCTTATTTGAAAAAAAGGTGTGTGTCTCAGTACAGGGAAATCTTGGGCAGATGCTCAGCGGTTGTTATTTCTAGCAGTGTTATGTTGAAACGGAATATATTACATGGCACAGCCCTCCTTTGTTCCTCCTGAAGAGGACTGTTAGAGTGGTGCTCTGGACTACTTTAACAGAATGATCACAATTTTTTTTTTTTTTTTACCCCTTTGGCTTTATAGAAAAGCTGGGGTTTATACTGTAAACCTTACATTACATTTATAGCTTAAGTTGCATTTTTGGTGTCCAGAATCCCCAAACAGCAGTAAAACAAAGTAAAATTGCTGACATTTTTGTCATTTTGTCCTTTTCTGTTCTGTCTTGCTAGTATATTTGTGGAATTTGGTCTGGTGTGACTTTTGGTACAATAAGCAGTGATAAATTATTTATCAGCTCCGCAACGTGTCTCCCATCCTATGTTTCGCCACATCTTTTGATCGCAATGAGCTACTTTGAGAGGTCTAACACACTCGGCTTCAATCAGCAGGGAGGTGTGGCGGCTCAGATAAGCCCATCCAGCTCCTTTCCATTCTGCATGGTCAGGCCATTTCACTTTGTCGCTCCGTCAGCTGACACAAATCACACCTCAGGCACTGTTTGAGATACTGATTTATTGTTGACCTTTAGTTTTTAAATGTCTCCATTCTCTTTCGAAAGCGCACAGACGCGTCGACCACCACAGTTACCAATAACAAACTGCGAGAAATATGTCACGTTTAATTCACCATCGCGTGTGATGAATTGTGTACCAGGGTGGGGATGTTGTTATCAGATTGCAGCTTGTTAAACATTTGATTAGGCATAGCAGCTACTGCCGCATATAAGCTGGATTCGCTCGCAGTCATCTGGATGTGTGCAGGCTGAGGCGTGCTCGTGACAGATGTGGCCTTTGTTCCTGATCGGATGTCTCAGCCGTGCAATGTCTGAAAGATGGCTGTCGGAAAAACAGCCAGATTATCGTCTTGAAGGTGTTGGAAACCTCTGTGAGGGTGTTTAAAAAGGCAATCCTAAACACCTAAGCTCCAAATTCAATTATTCCAGATGGAAGACATTTTGCAATCTCTGATGGCTCAAATTGACTTTTGGGCAATTTCCTCAGTGGACGGCGCCGTGCTGTGGCATTAAACCAAAGGCTTAGGTCCACTGTATACTGTTTTTTTTTTTTCAAACACAGGTGGAAAGGCCCGTACGATGCTCTCATCCTCATATGACGTTCCCCATTGAGGATGTATCTGTTCAAGCACACACTCCACATATTTTTAAACACAGTCTTACCTGAAGATTTTCATAACACATTCGTTTTTCTGTACCTCAGAGACATGACTTGTACTCTCTCTTTTTTTCTTTATGCAAGCATTAAAACGAGGTTTCCTCTCCAGCAATCATTGATATGCATGGACTGACCTTCCTAACTCTGGGCATGTGATTTGCACATTCCCCAAAGACAGTGCCCCAAACCTGTCCTTCAAAGATGGCATTTACGTCACACGTATTCAGAGCTCTGGCTCCACTTGTATTGTTCTCTCCTGTGTCTTCACTGTATGTGCTTTGTGTGTCTCTGTCTCTCTATCAGAATGTAACTATGACTGTCATATTATATAACTATTAGGGCTGTCAATTTATGCTTATTTTGTACAATTAAAATAATGAACAGAGAAACACACACACACACACACACACACATACTTAACACACATTCTCTAACAAGCCCTGAACCCATTTAGATTTTTGTGTACTGTAGGTCTGTGATAGAAAAAAAACAAATTTGATTAAAAAAACACTTGTTGTAATATATGTTTAATGGTTTTGTTTGCTATAATAATGTAACATTTCTTAAATTGTTACTTTTTTATTATAATTTAAAAATATTTTTTAATTATTGTTGGAATCTCTGCAGTTGATTCATTTGACTGGAATGTTATGTAATTAATTAAGTTGTTTAACCGATTAAGCCCTAAATAATATGCATCAAACATGAGACAAAAAATAAGAATGAAATCAAGTACCAATCTAAAAGAATACAAGTGTCAATTTAAAAAACATGATGTTGTTACTCTTTGTTTAAAGGGATAGTTCACCCACAAAAATTTAAATCTTGTTATAATTTACTCACCTTCATGTCATTCCAAACCTGTATGAATCACAGAGGAAAAAGTCATGCAGATTTGAATTTGCATGGTGGTGAATAAATTATAACAATTATAATATTTTTGGGTGCACTATCCCTTTAAGACCTAACAAGCTGTTGGATTATACTTTAAATCATCTGGAGAGGAGATTTTCAAATATCTTTTTTTTTTTCTTCATGGAACTGTTACAGCAAATTCCTAAACACTGAATTTTTTTTTTCTGTTTTTCATATTATCTGTTCACCCAGGCAAAACAAACATAATCTTTAAAATGACTTAAGATGAAAAACTGAGCATTTCTCTTTCCTAATAGGATCTGTTGAACCCTCTCTTGTGATTGAGAGTCTTGAATGCGTATGTGTGGTCTGTATTTTCAGCAGAGCAAGCCTGCTGTTGCCAGTTTCCAGCTAAAGTTTCTGTGTAGGTGTGCATCTGGCAATCTGCATCACCTTGAGGATTCACCATCACTGAGATTTAATCTACATATCCGCCCTCACTTTAGAGGAAGGTTCATGAGAAGTTCACGGGTGCACAATTTCTCCCCCCGCCCCCCCCTTCATTTGCAGGGTGAAAGGCTTGTGCTCTAAGTTGTGAGTACATGTTGTCTCATGTCATATTTATATTGCTTTTTGTAGAAATGCCATTTTGAGTTAAGAACAGCTCAGATGTGCTCGGACTGGGAAGTTCGGGTAGACACTGAACCCCCGATGCCCTCTAGTCTCTCAGAGTACGAACAATGACAGAACTCCAGAGACTATAACAGCTCCTCAGGAGCTGCCATCTTGGACGGGTGTGAAAATCTTATATTGGAGCGCTGTGCCTTGCAGGGATGTGTGTGTGAGTGTGTGCCTAGTGTTTGCACGTCTGTTTGTTTGCATACCCACTGTACTCCTGTGACCGAGATGAAGCAACAGCTTGTCATCTTTCTGTCACGGAGCAGAGCTTTTTTTGGCCGGAATAAAAAGCAGGGCTTGGTGGGACGTCTAAGCACTGCCACCAGTAGACAGGCAAACGGAGCGGCGGTTTGTGAGCATTCTGCATGTTGCGGGCATGCATTGAGAGCAGGCATAATGGGACGGTAGGTGGGCGTTGGGCACTTGAACTCCCACGGTGTCTGGGTTGTATGTGGCGCTCCGTTAAACCCATTAAAAGGGCGATGATGACCAGCTTTGCTGCTGCCTGTGCTCTTTAACAACAGAGCCTCGCTTCAACATTTTTCAGCTCATTATCAGCGATTCTTTCACTTACTTTATGCAAAATAAGCCCTTGTGTCAAAGAGCAAGAGAAATAGGAGTTGAGTTTTGAATTCTCTGTTAAAGTGATCCTTTGAATTCTGCCGTTTTGAAATATCTACATTGTACCCTATTGCTTCTGAATGAATCCTTCTAACTTATTCGCAGTGAGCCGTTGAGTCAGAAAAGAGAATTTAACCTCTAACCTGAGTAACTGTGAGGAGCGCAGTAGTTATGAGCTATTTTGATGGATAATGTGAAGTTTTCAGGATGACATTTTGTACGGCCATCGTGATTAGCTCTCAATTTTGAGGTGTTTTGTGAATGTTTTTGTGTGGAGTGACCAGTGTTGGGTAAGTTACTCTAAAAAAGTAATTAACAGTTACTAATTACATCTTCAACAGTGTAATTAGATCACTGTAGAAATTACTCTCTCCAAAAAGTATTTAATTACTAATTACTTTCTAAATCCTACATCAACCTCGACAAGTTAATGATACAAGAATAGACATGAAACAGTTCTTTTAATTCTTTCAAGTAACTACATAAATTATTCTTGTCACACTTTAGATGAGGGTCCAATTCTCACTATTAACTAACTATTAACTATGACTTTCGCCTCAAAAGATTCCGAATTACTGCTTAGTAAAGTAGTTGTTAAGTTTAAGAATCAGGTTGGATTAAGGATTTAGAATAAGGTCTTGCAGAATAAGACATCAATATGTGCTTTCTAAGTAAAAATAAACAGCCAATATCCCAGTAATATTCATGCTAATAACCAACGAGTTATAGTGAGAATTGGATACTAAAGTGTTACCAGTATTCTTATTAACTCATCAAACTATTTAAAGTGAGAAGGGTACATAAAAAGCATCCATTTTAAGGTTAGACTTTACATTTTGGTGTTAAATCCACTATTGTATTGTATTATTATGTTTTTGTAGTATTATGTTCTACAGTCTATACACAGTATTAAGTTCAATTACAAAAGAAGTAACTGTAATTAAATTACAGAAAAAATAAGAGTCATCCCTTACTTTACTTTTTCAAGGGAAAAGTAATTAAATTACATTAACTAATTACTTAATTAATTACACCCAACACTGGGTGTGACCATAAATCTTTCCAAAAGAATAAAAAATCACAATAAAACATTTTGAATTAGTCGTTTCTAAAGAAAACGTGAGAGGTGCTTGCCCATGTAAAACTCGCCACTGCAGTGCTTGAGTGGTTGTTAGCGTATTGGTATGCGGTTGCTAGGGTGTTCAGGGTGATTGCAAGAGAATGGCTATTGTGTTCTGGGTGGTTACTTAGTGGTTATTTTGTGGTTATCATAATTTCTATGATATTCTCATTGCACAGTATGATTCAAGATTCTCTTTCAGTGTACTCCTGTGGTGTTTTTTATTTATTTTTTTATTATTTTGGCATGTTCTATCATTTGTATAGTGAAAATTATCTAGTAGCTTATGAAAGTAACTTTTCTGTGTTTGTCATGTTAAGAATTCCACTAATTTACAATTGCAATTTGTTTATTAAAAAAAAATAATAATAATTACCCATGACCTTATAATAACTTATTTTGTTTACAGTACAGTAGTAGTACTTCAATGGTTATTTACTATAAATAAACAACAGTTGTATTTCTTAGTTATTATTTAAAAATAAATATTTACTTACTTGCATTAAATAATCAGAGCAAATATAAAGCAGGATTTTCAAATAATGACAAAATGATTTGGATTCCATTAAATTTATGACAATCAACACAGGATGTTACTTTTCATATCCTACCTTTGTGTATATTAATCATGGAATCTGTTAGTGGATGCTTGGATGATTAAGCTACTGTATATTTATGTCAACCTGAAAAACAGACAAAGAATTTAAAGATAAATTTCCCATAAAATTTGTGTATCAAGCCTTTAGTACACCCATAGGAATAATTTATTTACTTCCAGCTGATAGAAATGCTGCACATGACGGGCCCTTAGTTATTATGGGATGCTTTGATCATCAGCCCAAGGTTTAGCTCAATCTGGGTCTGCATGGGGTCCAACCTTCATCATTCAAATGTCTATCTTTATTCTATGATGTACTGCCCACGTGAACGTCATTGAAGGCCATTCAATTTTTGTCTCTGATGTACATTCTTTTTTTGACATTTGAGTCAATTAATTGAGAATGAGGCCCGGTATGGGGAAATGACTCTTCATTGGTAGCACTTGACATTTTCCTGGAGATGGCTCACATTTCATGTTGCTCAGGTTTTGGAATTCTCTTTCATTCTCAATTATTATTATTAATTTTTTTTCCCCTTTACACTCAGCCATACGTATGTTGCCTCTCCTATAGCCTTCAATGCCTGGACACAGGCCATTTTCCATATGTTTTCTCATAATGTTTGTTCGAAAAAAGAGAAACAATAGCGTGCATTAATGAGCCTTCAACCTCACAACTTTTGCTTGCTGCGTATTATCAGCATGACATCTTCACCTTCACCCTCATCGCATTTTCACCCTGTATATCACCCAAACCACATGTCTGACCTGAAATGCTCTTTGGAGAACTTTGGCTCGCTGTATAAGTACCCATGATGTCACATGTCAGCCCGGCACCACCACTAGCATATGCAGAGATGCAGCTGCTTGAAGAGAAGGTTAGCAATTAGGAATAAATGGTGAGGCACTTTAATGGGAATCTGCATTATCACTGACAAAAACTAAAATTAAAAAGCAGTAATTGGGAGTAATTAGTTAAATGAAATTTGGATCAATAGATATCGCACAGATTTGAATGCAGGGCTCCAAGAGCAGATGGTATGCCCAGGCATGCACATGGTGCAGCTGGATGTTGAAGCCGCAACCTTTCCTTGCTCTCAAGGAGCCGCATATTTAGCGTGCAAAGTGATGAGCTTCTTGCTTTACAAAGGAACAAAGGAATTAATCGGTGGGACCTGATTTACTTCCACCTGTAGTAAAATTAACACATTAACGGAGGCATAATTTAATCAGATTGCCAAATAAAAAACAAACAAGTAAAACCATTCGACTTCAAGAATGTAGTTAGCTGCTTCAAAACCTCCCACTGCGAAAATGATTCAGAAGAGCCTTCTTTGCTTGACAAGTTAATAATATATTGCAATTTGTTAATTAAGGGCAAAATGCATGGGAGTTTGGGTGTTTTCCCAACACAAATTAATCATTGAAATGAACAGAGAGAGGCCTCACGCTCGTTTGCGCCAGCCATAATGAAATAAAGGAGGCCTGCTGTTTGATGGGCTGTTTTGGGAGAGCGAGGAGTGTCTGTGCCGAAAGAAGAAATCAATAGCTGGTTGGGCGGTGATGCCCTGACTCTTCTGTCAAGCGCTCCACACGCTGTATCATTTCACGTGAGCTGGGTTTTCACTCTACACCTCCCATCTGTTTTCTAGCATCTGAATGTGTCCTCCGGTGTCATGGACACCAGAGCGATTCGTGAGAGCTGGCCACATCATAGAACCACGTCTCACTATCAGGGAATGGCATGGAGGACTCAGACTCGTTATAGATAGTTAACGTTCGTTTTCCACTTCTTTCGTAAGGTCCATCTCTTTCTTCTCTTACAGAGAGAGAGAGGGAGAGAAAGAGGGTGTGAGAGAGAGATTTTCAAAGTGGGAGTGATGCGAGGCCCATGCTGGGTTAGCCAGCAGGAGGCGGTCTCTGAGCTCGCAGCCAGTGAGAACTGATAAACACTTCTCAAAGACTGTTTTTGTCCAGACCAAACTTTTGGGTTTCAGGAATTAGAGAAAGGGAGAGAGCAAATAACAGAAGAAAGAGAAAACGTCTTCTGTGTAAAAGAAAGCACTAATGACAGTCAGGCGAGTGAGTGCTCATGAGTATTCATAGTGAAAAACACAACGTGATGCCACATCGCATCTTGAGTCTGTTTTACGCGTCTTCTCAATGGCCATATGACAAACAGTACAAGCAAAGAAACAAGTCAGATAGTGGTTCCGCAGTTTGCTTTTTGCCTGTGCTACATTCCCGCTGACAGATTTGACATTTTAAAGATTAAAGATTAGTTCTTAAAAACCCATATTTGTTTATCAATTTTATTTAACTAATGAAATGTTTATGTTTTTGAGCTAGATTTTTGGATAGAATAAATAAGACAAACTAAAGTCTGTCCAATTTTACTTTATATGCTTGTTTATATATAATGCATGATTTTCAGTCAGCAATGACCTACATTTCTTTTTGTCTGTCATGCGAAGTGTATGTCGTTAGAGGACTTCAGTTATACTGTATATTAGAATTCCAAATTTTGGTATTTAGTATTTTATTTTAGTTTTTTAGTTTTTTTAAAGGTATCTTATGCTCATTAAGTGTGCATTTATTTTAGAATTGGAACAAACATTAGAATAATATTAGAATAATGTTATGCATTAGTATTGCCATTTTAAATGACTGTTTTGTATTTTAATATATTTGAAGGATATGGCAAAGCTCAAAGTTCAAAAGAATAGCATTTATTTGAAATATAAATCTTTTGTAACATGAATCGTTTATAAATCTGCCATTTTACGAAAAAAAAAAGGCACAATATTCCTCAACATTTCTTCCCTTGTGTTAACTTATACTTAAGTTGTACAGAATTTTGGCTGATACTGATAATTATTTCCATGTTATAGCAGATAACTGATAAATAGGCAATATTTAATTTCTGTATTATTTTGTCTAAATAATATTTGTCACTACTGCTGCTACTACTACTACTAAAAAATCAGACATTTTGAATGATGAAATTTAATTTGATTATCAAAAAACAATAACATACAGTAAAATAGATATTTGTTTTAATATTTGCTAAAAAATATGAAATAATGAAGAATTATAAACTTATGAAATAAGTGATATATCACAACTAGATAATTAAATTATTACTATTTTTTAAAGATTAGCTTTGCGTTTTAATTTTTATTCCTTCAGTTCCATATTTTTCTTTTTTTCTTTTCTTTTCTTTCTCCCCAGCTCTGTTTGTACTCCTGGATTCTTCCTTGACCATCTGACCTATCGGCGCTCTCCCTTCATCAGAGACTATGCTAGGCTTTTTTGTACTTGTGGTTTTGCCTTGTAGCAGGCCCAGTAGGCAGACCCTCTGTTCACACTCTCCCCTTCTTTCTCCTTTTAAATGAGACACCTGACCTGGTCCATGTCCCCTAGTGGAGAGAGAGCATGTGCCGACCTCAGAGAATCACTAAAGTACCTGACACTTCATCTGCAGAAGTGTCAGGTGCTTTTATTCAAAGTGTCCAGCTTTTGAGTGTACAGTAAACCATGGCACAAAACCCCATGTTTAAAGCACAGCTTATGTTGTGATCTGATTTTTCACTTTGTGAATACAGCCTCTTTATGACAAGAACTGATGAAAAAAGAAGTTACAGTAGCTAATGTCTGTTGGTGGCCCGTATTCACAATTTGTTTAATTTTGTTCTCTGTATAGCTATAATTACCTTAGCAGACAAGAACAGGAAAACAGTGCCACTCCAATCCTTGACAAAGACATAAGCCGCAAGCTCTGACAGGGGCCAATATCACCAGAGTGAGTTTCTTCAGCGTGTGGCTTATTTAATGCCCAAGCCCAATCAATTTTATTGATCGGAGCAGGAATCTTTCTTTATCATATGGGCTGTTTACACATACCCAATTACACTGCCGTTTGTCATAAATTTGCAGCTAGTTAATGATGGCCTCCTGTCATACTTTTACAGGGCATTGATTAAAACATTACAGCTCTAATTGAGTATGTGAATCGATCGACTCTTTGTCCTCTGAAGCCACAGCTCATCCAGGAAGAAAAAGGAGTGCTTTCTCATCCTATCGCTCTTTCTCTCTCTCACTTTCTGTAGAAGTGTTGTTTGTCCAAACCTTTGGATTAGGTCTGTAGAGAGATGAAGAAATATTAAGGATGATGAGAGAAGAGGGCGTGTCTGTGCGATTGACCAAAATAAATCACTGGTTTTTCTTTTGTTCGCTTACAATACCAGACCAATGTTTGTACACACTTGACTGAATGCATGTTTCTTGTGATGTTTCTTTTAATTTAAAGGTTACAAAACTAGCATTTTAATTTTAATTAAGTTGGAACAGATAGTGAAGGAAAAGCAGCCAACAAGTGCTCAGCATAATGTGTATGGGAACTCCTTCAATACTATTAACAAAGCGTCCCATGATGCTCCTCTTGAAGTTAGTTTGAGAGAATGCCCAGACTGTGCATAGATAGAATCTTCTAGGCAATGGATTGATACTTTGAAAAAGCTGAAAGGTTGTTCTGAATTTTTTTTCTTCATTAAATAATGCCCATATTTCAATCCATGTTGTTTAATAGTTTTAAAGACTGTAATATTATTTGAAAATATGGAAAATAATTAGATTAGGGTTTAGGTTAGGAAGAATTATTTATTTTATTTTTGCATGTCCAAACATTTAGGTGGTAATTTAAAGACATAGTACACTGTAAAAAAAATTACCGTAGAATTTACAGGATTTTACTGGCAAAAAAAGTTGCCAATGAAATCCTGTAAAAATTATGTTAATTGCTGCAAAATGGATTACAGTATAATACTGCAAAAAAATTAGTTAATTGCTGTATGTGAAATACAGTAA